TTCTATTGAATGAGTATATGCATCTTCCTTTCTCTAGCTGCAATCTGTTTTTTTCAAAAAAAGAATTGTATATAAGAACATAAAAAGAGCCCTGCTGGATCAAATCAAAATCTATTTATCCTACATTTCATTCACACTTTGCCTATTAGACGACTGTCAGCAAGACATGATTACAAAAGCACGTTCCACCTTGCATTCCACTGTGATTGATTCACAGAGGCACCCAGCTTCTGTTGCTGAAGATGATATATAGCTATCCTGGTTAGAAGCCCTTGGTAGCTCTAATCTCCATTACTGTATCTAATCACCTTTTAAAGGCATCTGAATTGGCAGCAATCAAAGCATCTTGTAGTATGGAAGTAAGATGAAGAAATAGTTATTTTTATGTGACGTGACTCTCCTATCATTCAGCTTCAGTCAATGGTCCTGCTTTGATTGCCTCACAGCTTTCAGACATTGTATATTTGCAATCTATTCATAAGATATGTGTGTCTATTCATAAGATATTGGGGGGGGGGGGGGGCTTGAACCAAACCCCAGCAGATGTATATGATTTTTTAAAAAACACAACATAGATTTCTGTTTAATTTTCTTGTTGTGTGTTGTTTAGTATTTGAGGAGGTGTTTTCATTTGCCAATGTGTTGCCCTCATTCTGTTCAGATTGTTTAGGAAATTTGTCAAGGTTGATATGGCCCTAAGAACTCTTTGATTAAGTATTTTATCTTATTTGCTTTCATTCTTTGATTATTCTTGTAATTTTCTAACAATTAGCAATTGTGAAGAGTAGCTTTCAGTATATTAAGGGTTTTCAAAATCTACTTCACATATTAGTTGTCTCATACAATTATGGGAATTCATTGACTTTAATAGAAATAGCCTACTGAGTGCCATCAAGCTAAATGATGTTGAGTACCCCGATCAACTTGCTCTGAAGAGTGCTAATTCAGGCATATTTTCTCTTCACAATGGAAGAGTAGCTACACTTTGAAATTTATATAGGCATGCAGCATGCCCCTTTCAGACAGAAGGAGCAATAAGAGCAGACGGAATAGCAATGATAATGAATGAGACTGTGAAGAATAAAGGTAAGTAAGGAAAAGAGAAGAATAAAAAATCAGTATCATTGCACAACAAAACACCCTTAAAATGAGTGTACACAAGATAGTGAGCCTTGAGGAATGTCAAATCCTTAACAAAGCTTTCAAGGTTACCACTGAGTTTGAAAACAAAAGTGTATTTTAAAGGTATAATGTGTGTGTGTGTGTGGGGGGAGCAATTGCCACACTGCTAGGTTTTGATGGCATAGTGCTCAATTTGGAAATAGGAAGGACTGCAAAAAATGAGGCAGGGGATTGCGGCCCGTAAGTTGCATGGTGTCTATTATGCAAGATTGTTCTTGAAAATGACATGGACATCTAAGTTGGTCTAAATCAGTGCTACTCAAAGTGGTGATCCCTGGAGCCATTGACTGTGGGTTCCTTATGAGTCTTGTTTTGGGGGTTTTTTTTGCGGGGGTGGGAGGAGAGTTGTAGCAAATGGGGACAAATTTAGTGCTGGTGTGAAAAAGAGTAAAAGAGCAGAGCTGGATGGACTACACAAAAACAGGAAAATATATTATTGAATACTAAAGTTAGGATTGTCCATATTATCATATATCCCATTTCTCTTTATGGTTATAAAAGCTGGACAGTGAAAGAAACCAATTAGATATCAACTCTACTCATTTGAAATGTGGTACTAGCAAAGAGTTTTACAGCTATCATGAACTACTAAGAAGACAAACAAATGGGTTCTAGAGCAAATCAAGCCTGAATTCTCCCTAGAAGCCAAGATGATTATTTTATTTATTTATTTATTTATTTATTTATTTATTTATTTATTTATTTATTTCTATCCTACTTTTCTCAACCCGAGAAGGGACTCATGGTGGTTTACAAAAGAGGAAGACTGCATTCCTGATGGAGTGACTCAATCGAGGAAGCCACAGCTCTAAGTGTGCAGGGCCTGAGGATAGGGTGACTTGGAGGCCTCTAACCATAACCTGAATGGTGGTTAACAACAAAATCCTTGCATTAAAAAAAATGACAGTTCCCATATTAGCTAGCTTGGGAAGGGTTGGTCTAGATTACCATATCCAGAGTAATAGATTATATCAGGTTCCAAGCTTCCATCACTTTTGCAAGAGCCGTGCTGGTTATCAGTTTATTTCCAGGTTAAGTTAAAGCAACTTGACTTGAGCCTGGGTCATGGTGGATACACTGACCATTCATTTGAGTTCTTCCACTATGAAATTGTAGGCTTTTCAGAAGGATGGCATAATTTTTGTATAGTGTCTAGAAGTTAGACATTTCCTAGATATAAGTAATCACAAATAAAATTTGCACATTCCACTCACATACAAGATAAGACTAAAGTCTGCAGGTAATTGTTTCTATGATCGCATCTTATAAATATCTGCCTCTGAATATTTTGGCCATTTTGTATGCCATTAAGATTTTCATGTTAGGTAGCTTTTGGATCCTTTTGTAGTTGTAAATGTCATCCTTCAGTCTCACTTATTTTCTGAATTAAACTGTAAACAACATCTGAAAGTGTTCCATTGTTTGCCTTTTCTATATAAATTGGTATACTGTATTCTAGCTACCTCTTACAGATTGGAAGAACAGAAAATGAATTTCACTGTTCATCCATATGAATTAACAATTACTTCATTAAACATTTAGACTTAATTGTGTTTTAATCAATAAATGTCCCAGTGAAGGGGCATTCAGTGTTGGTGGCTTTGTCAACAGTTTTGTATTATTGTGACACAGGTGATGCATTGATTTTTCCAACTGTTATGTGTCTATAGAGAATTTCACATTGAAGAGAGGTTGTTCCAAGACTTCACCCAGTATTATTTTTGTAGAAAGATGCTCTGGCAGGGTTAATCTGTGAATGGATCACTAGAGTAAGTTCTGAAAGTAATGGTCAGAAATCTGCCCACAGGTTAATAGAATAGGCAGTTTTCTAACAAATGGACATTCTTCATGTATCTCTGCAAAGAATGTCTCTGGAATAGTTCAATATATAACCCTTTGCACATTCCATTTCTTTTTGCTACTGTAAAAATGTGCTATAAATACATACAATTCTGAGGCTTCTGAATAGATCTGTTACTTTTCTTGCTTTTGCTCCCAGTACCCTACAGCCAGAATAACAGTGGTCAAGCTGTCAGGGGACTCTGGAAATAACTTTTCTAAACTCTGATGTGGAGATGAAGATGAATAACAACCATCAACCTTCTTCTAGTTTTCACTGTCCGTTATGGTGGGCAACCCTGCCTTGTCTCTAATTTAGCCCTTCCCAAACTAGTGCTGTCTAGATTCATTGGTTTATGATTCCCAGGAGTTACATCAGTGGTTCTTAACCTGTGGGCCGCAGACTACCAATGGGCCGCGAGGACGAAAATTTGGTCCGTGAGCCTCCTTCCTCTTATTTTATTTTATTTCTGCTCCTTTTGTGCTGCCTGTCACTCCTCCCTTGTCATTGACCATGGCATATGTTCTGCATCAGAAACGAGAGCTGATGTGGTCTATCCAATGAAGTTTTCTGAATCCACACCCCAAATAACCAAACCGAATCTAAAGTTGACCAAAAACTGATTTGTAACCCTTTTGGCACTAATGTTGGAGAGTGGTCCTTGGTCAAGTGGTCCCTGGTCAAAGTGGCTGCTGGTTTGAAAAAATGGTTGGGAACCAATGAGTTAAGGTCAATCACAAGTAAAAGCACTAGGTTGTCCCCACTGCTCAACTTAGACCATTTTTTCAAAAAATTTCAAAGACCAATACTCATTCTTCCAAAGAACTTGCAAGGAAAGCACCATTCTTTAGTTGTTCAATAATTTTTTTCCATTCTCCTTTTGGCTATACAAGCTAAAAAAGTATAATAGGCTGTTTCATAGGAGGAACAGGGATCACTGAGCAATTTGTCTAATCTAAGTTTTAAAATAAGAATACTTTAAAGGGGGGTTGAGGAAGGAATCTATTCTTGAGGATTTTACTCTTACTTTGTGACTTGAGTGGGAGTGCTATAGATTTATTGTTCAGTAAATGGCCGGCCAGAGGGAACCCAAATATGAATTAATATGTAAGGAAAAATGTCAATCCATGAAATTGTAGTATATGACATTCTGGGTGAGACTCACACTGAAATCTATCATTTAGAACCCAATAACCATAACTGTTCTGGAAAAAAAATACTCAGAATTTCTTTTTTCTTTGTTTTTAGCAGTTTATTTATTTATTGTATCAGAAATGAATCAAAGGTACAGTTGTAATGTATTTAAAAAGCACAAAGTTTAAAAACTTGGCATTATATTAAATGTCCTTTGACCAGAAGCTGGCCACTCGGAGTGCCTCTGGTGTTGCTAAAAGAAGGTCTTCCATTGCGCATGTGGCAGGGCTCAGACTGCATTGTAATAGGTGGTCTGCGGTTTGCTGTTCTCCACACTCGCATGTTGTGGATTCAATTTCTTAAGATTAGCTCTTGTGGTGTCAGAGCGCAGTCAGCAGTTAATGGTTTGAGCTAGGACCAGGATCTTGAGCAAGTAACACTTTCTCAACCTAAAAAGAAGATAATGCAAATTTCCTCTGAATAAATCCTAGAACATGGTCACCATAACTTGGCATTGATTTGAAGCTATATAATAGTAACAAGAAGAACCAAAAACTGCAGCATGAGAATAGTCTAAGTTGTAAGTCAGATGATACAGTCTGTCAGGTTCTTTTGTTGATTTTCTTAAATACAATCATTCATGTCTGCTTGCAACCTGCAATTTTTCTTCTGGAGGTGGCTTTCAAAAGAAGGTGGGAGAGGGGAACACTTCACTCCTGAAGGAGGTACCTATTTGCTGAAATCAGACAAGAACAGTCTGCTTGAAAAGAAAATGTAATGATGCGTGCGTGCTCGTATGTGTAGTACATTGAAGTCCTTGCATTCTGTATCTATTTTCTTTCAGCAAAACAGAACCAATTCTGGTAAAAATGATGACAAAAAGGGTAATAAAGGTGCAGGCAAGTATGAATCAACGTCAGAAGGTGGCAAGACCGCTGTGGTGTTTTCTTTGAAAAATGAAGTTGGTGGCTTGGTAAAAGCACTCAGACTTTTCCAGGTAAACAGCCTTGACTTTTATTTTGTACAATAGATAATTGATTGGGAGAAAACATCAATAATGCGCAGACAAAAATAAAAAACTACATGTATGCACATTCACAAAATCTGAAGACATTTTATGAATTGCTTGCTATTATTATAAAATTTTGGCCTAAATACCCTTTCTGATCTTGGTAGCTCAGCAGGGATCCAGCTCTGGTTAGTACTTGGATGGAAGGCCATCAATAAACATAGGAGCTGTAGGCAATATTTTAGAGGAAGGAACTGGTAAAACATCTCTGAGTAATCCTTGTGTAAGAAAGAATGAAATTAATGGGGTCACAATTTTTTTTCATCTCAGGAGTGACGTGAGAAACTGCAAGTCGCTTCTGATGTGAGATAATTGGCCGTCTGCAAGGATGTTGCCCAGGAGAGGCTTCTCTCATGTCCCTGAAAGGATGCTGGAGTTGACAGATGGGAGCTCACCATACTCCCTGAATTTGAACCACTGACCTTTTGGACATAAGTCCTGCCGGCATAAGGGTTTAACCTATTGTGCCATGGCCATGGGGTCCCATGAGGCCGCCATAAACTGACAGGTGACTTGAAGGCACATTGACATATCATGGGCCTTCAAATCACCTGGAGCTTGATACTGACATAATACTGATGCTTGAAGTGATGTGTGGTCAAGAATTCAACTTGTTCTGAAATGCTGTAATTTTGGGAGTACCTGTGGGCATAGTGGTATGTTTGGATGCCTACGTTAGTTGTGATAGCTGTGGATCCCTTTTGCTAGTTTCAGCTTATGTACCAGACCATTCACGGTCTTTTCTAGAGAAAACACACCAGAATGAGTTTCAGTCCTCTCTGTATAAGGCACATGCCAATTAGCCAAGTCTAAATTTGCTCTGCTACATACAAATGCCTACATTGTTTCCAGATTATAAGAAATTGGTTCAAAAGGCCACTGTTAGAGTGCTCAAATTGCTAGATCTCAGCTTCTCTCCATGTCATTGGTCAGCAATTTGTTTCTGGTTTTTATTCAAAAAGCGGGTCTTGGTGATGTAAAACTCTAAATAGAATGAGACCAGGGTGCTTTAAGGTAAGTGTGGTCAATATGAGGCCCACGGGTTGCATGTACCTTCCCCACAGTTTTTGTGCTACCATGCCATCCTAATTTTTCTATAGAATGGAGTGCCTGAAATACATTCCTTAAATATTAAACTATTCTGCCGATATATTATGTATGTGCATGTGAGTGTGTGGAAATATAACAATGAACAACCATTTTATTAAAAAGTGTGGTTGCAAATCACTTCTAATTATCATATTTATAGTTTGCTTCCTAATGCAATGAATCAATTAAAATGTATAATGTTCCAGTAGTTTTATTGGATTGAAAATTATAAATAGTTCATTTAATGCAGATCAGGATTCTATTGGGCACAAATCCCTTTATATGGTTATTAAACAACATTATGTTTTTGACACAGCTATTAAACTATTGCCGCTGCCCTAAGTGAATTTAGTGTGTTGGTGAACCAATTTTTCTTTTGTGCACAGGAAAAGCATGTGAGTATGGTTCATATTGAATCAAGGAAATCAAAGAGAAGGAGTTCAGAAGTGGAAATTTTTGTGGACTGTGACTGCAGCAAGAAACAATTCAATGAGCTTATTCAGTTGTTAAAGTATGAAACAAACATTGTCACTCTGAACCCTCCGGAAAACATCTGGACTGATGAGGAAGGCAAGATTGTTTTCTCTCCTCTTATTTCATTTCATTTTGAAATTAGAAAAGCTTTGTGAAGAAACAGTGACAATCTGATTCCTCCAATCACTCTGTGTTTTCTCCAGAGCTTGACTGTGTTCCCTGGTTCCCCAGGAAGATTGCTGAATTAGACAAATGCTCCCAAAGAGTTTTAATGTATGGCTCTGAACTGGATGCAGACCACCCTGTAAGTGTTCATGAAATGTCAGGTGAGGTTGGTCAAGTAATGATCTATGAAATCTGCACAAAGAATCAACCAATATTGAGAAGTGGGGAGGGAGAGAGAGAAAGGAAGAATAACTGAACTTGTTGGATGCTGGTGCTGTTTCAACAAACGATGATGATGATGATGATGATGATGATTCGATTTATAATTGTAATGACCTTAATATTTAACAGGTTTAGTCCATTGAGTCTTAAACAAACCATGGCTGAGTCAGTTAGCAATATAAATAAGAATCAAAATAAACAAAACAGAAAAATGAAAACACGGTGTGTAATGCTTTCTCTAAAACTTTAAAGTGTTTGGCACATACTAGCACAGTAGGTGCATTCATATTGTATCAGTATAACAATTCAAATGCAGTTTAAGTGACTCCATTCCATGGAATCTGTGGATCTTGTAATTTGGAGTGTACTTAGACTTTCCTTGTTCTCTCCTCTGAATTACAACATCAGAACTTTTTGATAGAGGCTAATAAATCTATCCTCAAATTACAAATCCCAGGATTCAATAGTATGGAGCCATAACCATTATAGTGGCATTAAGGTTCTAAAGGGGCTGCAGTGGCCAGAGGCGGCCCTAGGTAATTTTCAACGGTAAGCAAACAGTATCCCCCCCCCCCAACCAATCACTGATATATATATTTTCTGTTCGTCGTGGGAGTTCTGCACGCCATATTTGGTTCAATTCCATCATTGGTGGAGTTCAGAATGCTCTTTGAATGTAGGTGAACTATACATCCCAGTAACTACAACTCACATATGTCAAGGTCTATTTTCCCCCAAGAGCGCCTCAAGAGCGCCCCTGGGCAAAATCAACTATGCTACAAATGCTCACTTTGCGTAATGGGTTGAGCAGCCCCTGGCAATGGCACAGTGGGTTAAACTGCTCAACTGCAGAAGTTGCTGACCGGAAGGTCTGCGATTCAAATTGGCAGGACTGGGTAAGCTTCCACTGTTAGTTCCAGCTTCTGCCAAGCTAACAGCTTGAAAACATGCAAATGTGAGTAGATCAATAGGTACTGCTTTGGCAGGAAGGTAACGGTGCTCCATGCAGTCATGCCGGCCACATGACCTAGGAGGTTTTTATGGACAACACTGGCTCTTTGGCTTAGAAATGGAGATGAGTACCACCCCTCAGAGTCAGACTTGAGTAGACTTAATATCAAGGGGAAACCTTTACTAAGGTTCTAAACTTTTGTAGTGGGAATACATCCAGTGATCCTAAGAATGCTTCAAATTTTTCTCTACTTAATCCTAAAACCTGTGGCAGAAACAACCAATGTAGATTGAGTGGTAACACTTCATTGCTGAAGGAAAGTCATGCAATATGGAGCATAATTATCAGACAGATTTTGGCATGTGGATCAGAGGCATTTATTCAATATTTGGGAACCATTCTCTCATGTTGCTAACTCTAGCCATCTTCACTGATGAGGTATATGGATTTCTTGGTGTAATTTTTCATATATAGACACCAGTCCTAGAAGATATATTGCTGTGATAATATTTTACTACAGTAAAAATAGTATAGAGGGGTGTTTGCTTTTGCTTTCCTATGAGGCTGAGAGTTTGTGACTTCTCAAGGTTTAATTTTTAAGATAGTAATTAGTAAGCAATCTAATGTACAACAGAATATGCACTCAAAAAAACTGAGAGAAAAAAAGAATAAAAGATATAGCTGATACACAGTAGGACTCTCACCCACCAATTCTGGCAGTAATAAAACAAAAAGGGAAAAGGAAAAAAGTCATTACGGAGCCAATTAAATTATCCTAAAATTACTATTAACCATAACCAAATTGTTACATTGCTAGATTTGTTATCGCTCCAAAATTATGAATGGCTTTTCATCTTTCCAAAATTCTTCAGTTGGTTTATCCTTTTGGACCCAGGTCAGTTTTGCTATTTGGTCTAACTCAGCAACCTTAACAATCCATTCTTCCAGTTCTGTTTTCTGGGTCAATAGACAACTTTGTTTATGTTTCTTACGGGCCGATTGGATTGACCCAGGTTGGCTGCTTGTCTCTGCATTGCAAACTGCACCGAGAGCTGTTTCACAAATGTACTTTGAACAGAATAGGCTCTTCAAAGACTTCAGAAATTGTATGGACTGAAGTATCTGCTTTAAGGGGGAGCATTTGGGAAGGACTGTTCCTTCAAGCAACCTTGCCACTTTGTACAGAAAGGGCGCTTTTGAAAATCGCTTCAATACTTGTAATCGTGCACATTGCTGTATGTTCCCTGCAAAGAAATATAGATATTAAACAAATGTTCCTATTGGAGTGGGTGGAGAAAGACGACAGCATTTCAAAACTACTCACACTCAGGGAGATAATTATGAAGCAGAAATCATAGCATACTTCAAGCTCAGCAGGAAGGCAGCTGGCACATAGGTTGTGTGTGTGTGCTTTCCCCTTCTTTTAATACTGAAGCATTACTTCAAGTCATATTTCATACTCTCTGCAAGCTTGTGTACTACTGCCAAAAACCATAAATCCAAAACTAGGTACATTAACCTGCCTCCCCATTATCTGCCCCCATGCCCACAGCATTAACCTCAGCATTTCATTTAGGACCTTATCATACATACCTCAGAAAATGCATTTTTTAAATAGGCAACCCATAGTTTAAAAATGCTCAAAAATGTTAGAAGAAGACTGGATGAGTATTCACTCCATCTCACATACTTCTTTCCCTTCCGTATCCAATAAAAGAATGTGTATCAGACTTATCACACAGCTGAGGGATGACTGCTCCCAACCTGTCCAATGTTCCCCTATGTCACTGTCTTCCTTTTTGGGGTGCAGATCTTGCTCTTTCACACAAGTTTGTGGCCTCAGCCCCAAAGAAGAAACATAAACATAAATATTTTGTTCCCATGGAGCCATGCAATTCCTTTTTAAGAAAGGAGATAATAATGGGAAAGTGGAAAACATGTATGGCTTTATTCAGGCTCTTTCTCTGACTGTCACCCAAAGTATGCTGTTGGGCATTTCAGCAAAGGAGAATTGAATGGGATGAAAAGACCACTCTCAAAACATGCACTGAAAGACACGACACTGATAACTTGCAGACAGGTCTACCCATTACACAGCAAAAAATTCCACTTCTGACACATGTGACAAAATTAAAGACGAGTGAAGTCAATTGTTTTCCATTTTAAAGCAGTTATCACAGTAGATTCTTTGCTCACAAACGTCTATGAAATGGACCTTGCATTATGTGATAGGACCTTTAGGCACCAGTAGACAGAGTTGGAAATTGAGTTTAAGCATGTGTGATAAGGTCCTTAAACTTGGTGATTTTGATCCAGGCCTAGGAACCTGTTGTTTATTCAAAGTTAACTGTGTACTATCACTCCCATCATCCCTTTACACTGATAGGATCAAAGGTCTAAGATAATGGCTGAATTATCAGCATTCTGACTCAATTCATTATCAGAATGTCTGGCCTCCCAGATATTGTTGGGCTGAAGCCCAACATCCATATTCAGAAATTTCTTACCATCAGTTTTCTTGGCACTCAAAAAAAAAAAAAGGATGTTTTTCTACCACTTTTTAAATAGTTTTGAATATGCTTTTCAGCCCTGTTTTCTATTTATTTGGTGAACACATTAATGGAGCTTAAAACCATTAGTTTCAACTGAGGCCAAATAAGAAAAGCTACTGTGCTTTACACATATTTACAACGTGAATACGTATTGTGAGCTATGGGAAACTGTTTTTACCACAAGAATGTCATCTGCCATTACTTTTTTCAAGTGCAAGTTGCAGTGCTGTCAAAGTGCTGTTGAACTCTTTTTCTTTTTAGCCTGGAGGTACAAAGGAAAGCAGAATGTTGGTTATCCCATTTTGGTTCACTTTCTTCAATTAATGCTCCCTTGCTACCCTTTCACCTTAAAGATTTGAGGCCAAATTGTATCAAAGATAATCTCAAGAAAACCCAAAGGGGAGGCACACAGTTTCCTTCCTTGTAGTTATGGTAGCATGAACTCTTTGTTTTAAATTCAGTTACTAATCCCATCTATTGACCTAAAGGGTCACAGGGGTTGCTCAGTTGCTTTTCGAGCTGAAGACCTAAAATCACTCAATGGCTGCTTCCACTTATATTAGAAATAGAACTACAGCAAGGAAATCAAGAGAGTTGGAAAGTTATTTTAGCTGAAGCAGATTCTTGGTGTTTTTCTTGTTTGTTTCCCTTTCTCTCATACACACACATTCAAAATGCACAGGGGGGGGGGGGTTGGGAAAAACAAACAAGGAAAACACTGGGAATCTGCTTCAGCTAAAATAACCTTCTGACTCTCTCTAGCACAGAGAGTGAATCTACACTATAGAATTAATGCAGTTTGAGACCATTTTAACTGCCATGGGTCAATACTATGGAATCCTGTGAGCTGTAGTTTAGCAAGGTGTATAGCCTTCTTTGGTAAAGAATGTTGTTGCCTCGCCAAACTGCAACTCCCTGGATAGGATACCATAGCACTGAACCATGGCAGTTAAAATAGTATTGGACTGCATGGACTCTACAGTGTAGATGCACCCAGGCCATCTTCTAAAAACTATCCTTTAAGAAAGGTCTAGAAGTGGGAAAGGTGGAACCAAGCCAAGGTCACCATAGATCCCTGCTTAGGCTCTTTCTTTGCCTCTTGTTTTCCCTGTCATCATCACTAACTGTGCTGTGGGTTACGCTGATACATATTGGGAGTATATGCTTTTACATTTTTCTTTGGGTGTTATTTGCAAAGGTTTTGATCCTGAAAGATGAAACGTGAATTGTCTCAATAAATTAATCAATCATAAATGAAATTACTATAGGCCACGGTGAGTTTCTGACTCTGTGTATCATCATGAAGTAAAGTGATCTGCTCAGGCAAAACTCAGCATCAAGGTAAGAGTGGAAATCATGATGTTCTTCAGATGATGTCCTGCAACTTCCAGCATTCCTCATAGGCCATGTTGGTCAGGGCTGCTGGAACATGCAATCCAACAACATCTGGAAAAGTACATGATTAAGGGGAAAATTCATTTCCTTTGGTTAACATATTTTCCCTTCCACAATGCCATTTTCTCAGAGATACTTGCCTTAGCAATCAGATTTTCAATTTAAGATACCTTCCAATGATTACTTGCAAAATAAATCATACTATGGACCTCATCATAGTTGATGAGATTTAGCATTCTGATTCACCAGCCTTCGTGGCAAATTGAGGAGGGGGGGGGGGTAGTGGGGCAATCCTGGCACCCTGGTTTGCCACCAGCTGATCCACTCCACACATGGGAAACATCACTGCGTGGTTCTCCTTCCCCCCTCCCCCCGTGATAGCCCCATTGTTCCTAATGGAACACAAGGAGACTCCCATGATGTTGGCACAGTGTCTTATGATGCTTCTGCCCCAGTTGACCCATGGAGCCCCGCTGGAAGTGAGACCACATTGCGTGATTGGCGGTTTGGGGATCCGTGAGTCAACTGGGGCAGAAGTGTCCTAGAATGCTGAATTTCCATAGTGTCATGAGGTCCTAAATGTAAAATATGTGGGTGAGGAAAGAGCATATTATGACAGACAACTTTTACCTGTTAATGTGCTAAATGCATCTCCCACTTTGACTCTTGGGCAACAGAGTTTAGGTTGCAAATTGTAAGTCACTGCAACTATCATTGTTTATGTTTTTGATTACAGGAATGGAAAAATACATTCTTGGTATTTTCTGCTTTGGTAACATACCTGGCTTGACATATCATGCACTTGTTTTGTTGTATGTATGTGTTAAGGGAAAAAAGTTTATTACTCTGCTTCAGATGACAACTATATTTGGATGTGGTCTAATCATCCTGATTGAACTGTAAACCTGTAGATGTAGACCAGGTAGAGTTGATATTGGAAGCTGGCATTGTAGCTAAATCCAAAACCTTCTTGCTGTGTGAAAGCCCAGATGCATTAGGAATAACGTTCTTATCAGACTTTGGAGCTGTAATCTGCAAGCTCCTTGCTGTAGATTAGTTCCATTCAAGCGACCGCCTTGGGTAACTGACTAAAAGACTTCAGTCTTAGACAAGATTCCCTCCCACCCAAAACCCCACATCTATCCATTGTTTCTACTAACAGCTCCACAGTGGCATACATTCAAACATTTATAAGTATTTTAAAACACTGTGATGATTGCTTTAAACACCCCCTTCTATTAGTTTTCTTTCCTTTGGTTATAAATTAATTTTGCTTTCTTTATTTTGCTTTAGGGATTTAAGGACAACGTCTATCGGCAGAGAAGAAAATATTTTGTAGATGTTGCCATGAATTATAAATAGTGAGTACCAAGCTGTCAAATTGCTATGGTGAACATGAGGACTGGAACTGATGTTGATTGATATATAGAACTGAGGCTACCATCCTATGCTCAGTCAAATCTTTATTTTCCCATTTTAGTACTAAAATATCTCTCCAGAGTTTCAGAGGAAGAGCTTTTTCTAGGTCTGGGCAGAGATACTTTGGGTTGAAACTGGGGGTTTCAGCAAGAAAAGCATGTCCTCTACAACTGTGACCCTTCTTTGTTCTTCTTGCCATGACATAACATGTATTTCCTGCCAAGACATGAGCAATTTTGGGTTCCTGTAAAGTGGTACTGAATTGGATTATATGTTTTACAGAATAATAATAAGGAAATGGCTGTGTTACTATGAATAACCTCCAAAATAGTTCACATGATCTGCACCTGCTCCTGTGCAGCAAAGTATGGTTGCATGAAGGAACTTCTTTATTTGCTTCTAGGAAAGAGGTGGCAGGAAGACAGATGGAATCTTGGCATGTTGTCCCAAGCCAAGGCAGGGAAAAGCAGAGGTTGTGTGCTCAAAAGCCTGCTTACTTTGTTTCCTGCTTCATCATTAATCAACCCACTGTCTCGTCCTGCAGGTTCTGGAGTTAATTGCAGGACACTTTTAAGGCACCAGGAAGGCATTATCTCCTCCCTTTCCAGGGATTAAGGGGTAAATGATGCTAGGTTTGGCCATGTACTTGAAGTCACTGGCAGGTAATCTTGGGATGGAATTGATGGACAGGAATGATGAATACCCCTCTGTGTGTCAAGTGATGAAATAGACATTTCCAGATTTGCTTCTGTGGTTGCAGGGTCTTATTAGTGAAAGGGGCCAGCCAAGACACATTCCCTCTTAATGTCATAGGACATCAAAGGAAGACTCCCTAGTCAGGGTATGTGTGTTTGGGTATGCATGAAAAAATGAAAACATTATCCTTAGTAAGAATTCTGCCCCTTCCCCAAGGGAATTTTCCTCCACGCTTCCCAATTTATAACATTGCAGTCAGATGAGCATCTAGACACACAGACTTAGCAACTAAGGAATAAAGGGCAGGCAAAGTAACCAAGGCAATGACACAGCCACACATAAAATGCCAACATTCTCTCAGTGAATACTTTTCTATGCCTCACCCCTTCAATGCTAGAAATTTGAAGACTGAAAAAAGAAATCTAATGGGGACGGAACTCTTATGTAGAGGAGCAGGCCCGTAGCCAGGATTTTGATTCGAGGGGGGGGGGGGGAAGTCTGAGTGAAAGAGGGTCTACCCTAGCAAACCTTTTGTCTCATTACCCCAATACCCCCATGCATATGGGATATATTGAGCATGGTGATCAGATCATGATATGAATAAACATAACAGTTTAAATAATGTACCAGTAAGGCCTTTTCGCGAACCACCATGAGATTTTTGGGGGGGGGGCTGAAGCCCCCACCCCCCCACCCCGGCTACATGCCTGTAGTGGAGCAATACCTTTCTCCAAGGCTACACTTCCGTTTAGAGCTGTGATCTCCACAATGCCAGTGAGGTAAAAGGGAGCCTTATGCTGTCCAAGATGTCATTAGACCCCTTGATGACAGTTTCCATGTAGATGCGGATATAGGTGTGGTGTGATTGGTTGTAGAGTCAGACACATCCTGTCTTTAATATGTGAAGTGGGAGAACATGGAAGCAGTCCTTTCCATGAAGGTATTTTGATGTACACCACCTTGTTGCCAATTTACTATTACTCTTACTATTACTCTTATTATAGATGCCTTAGTGGGTTTGAGGGAATTTAGGATTTGGAGTAAACCATTCTTGAAGGCCACACCCCAATGGTAGAGATTGGAAAATGCCCTGTAGTTTAACAGCAGGACCTTTTGCAATCTCTACCATTGGGGGTGTGGCCTTTAGTCATGCCCACCTCATCCCTCTTTGCATCACCACTCGTCAGGGAAGGGAAACCGTGAGATTTTAAAACTGTTTGTTTAGGCTTTACCAAAGTTACTTAAGGGTTCTGAAATGATTCAGAAATTTCAGAAATTTCAGATATTTCCATCTTTTTTCCGGAAAATTTTGGAAATCATTTCCGATCCGAATCACCAGTGCTCCCTATATCCGAAACGAGTTTGAACTAATTTTTTTGATCAAACAAGCCTATACCTCATGTTCTACCAGTGTTAGGTCCATAGAGTTGTCAGCTATTCAGCATTAGCTCATATAGTAAATTTTTGACTCAGGATCGGAATCATACAGCTCTCTAGATGTGGTTGGATGACAACTTCTAACAGTCCTAGCCAATATATCCAAGGGAGAGAAATGAATGCTGGGAGCTGCAGTTCAACATTTGGTGGGTCACATGATCCCCACTTCTGGCTTTGACCAAATGATAATAATATAAAAACTTAATTTTTATACCCCGCCACCATCTCCCCAAGGGGACTAGGGGTGGCTTACATGGGGACAAGCCCAAAATCACTGATAAAAACAACAGCAATAAAATCAATCAATTAAAAACAACAGAATCGCAACAACAATAACATTAAAACAATATCATGGCTGATAAACAAGTGTTACAGGGCTCTAGGTTGATTACATTTAGCATAGGAATTACATCCTCACAGGACAATTATATTTATGCCTACTGATTTCCTTGAGTGCAATGACGCAAGCTCCTATGTAGATGAATATAAAACAGCATCTTTAGTGATTCTGCAACTAATAATATAAATTCCTTCACTTCAGAATGCTCCAAGTATCTTATATTTTACTTCCTTCTTTCTTTCCTTTTTCATTCCACATTGTTGGAAATCAAGTCTACATTCTGAATCCATTACCATCCCCAGGAGTTAGTAAATTTCCAACGCTACCTGCAAATACCTGCTGTTTTGCAATTTTCTTGTCACACACGCTTCTAAGTCAAGCTAATTCAAGTCTCATTCTCATTTGACTTCTAATGGGCCAAACTCTTCACACTCCAAAGAAGGCACACACTAATTTTATGTACTTTTCCACTGTTATGCTCTAAAAAAAATCACCCCACTTGTTGGGAGTGTACAGATGTCTAGTCTACCTTTTTGGGTTTCCGAACTACCTAAGTGTGTATGTATATGTGCTGGAGGAAAGACAGCATTTCTTTTAAGCAGCAGAGGGGATAACTTGGCAGGAGAAGAGCATACTTAAAAGCCCATAAAAAGCCTTTATGCTGTTGGTATATATAAAACTAATAAGGATGCAGCTCGGGAAGAAGAAAAGAATTTGTATCCTGTGACTCTAGGCAGCAGCTTTGCTCTCTCACTAGATCACTGCTGTCCTATTAGCATTTTATATGGATATGGATCTCCAAAATGTTCCTGTACCGAGACTTCTTTTGCATATCTCTGTTCAGTTTAGGTTGTACTTGACTAGTTTCCAACCAGCCTGAACCATTTTATTTGTTTATTTTTGCTCCCCTGCTGTGATAATTTTCTTAAACCCAGAGTAAGAAAACAGGAAATGCTTAAATGAGTGTGCAATTTAGCTTAATTAATGCATGCAAATGAGTATAAAACCCCTCCACCTTGTTGAGGAAACCTATCTTTAGAAGCTGTAGTTAGTTAGTTTTCTGCCATGAACGGAAAAAGCCACCCATTGCCATGATAGCTAGGGGATTCTCGGAGATATTAACATCTAAAAAGTAGCTTTTGTAAAGGTGGAGTGTTTGCTTGGCCACCAAAATATTGTTTAATTTGGGAGCACCTGATCAACAGCAATGGGGCATTATTTTAGAGTGCTTCCAGGTCATATTGGACAATCCCCTATGAACCCTCACACTCTTTTAAGATCCTCTGGGGAGGCCCTTTCTCGCTTCCACCTCCGTCTCAGGTATGATTGGTGGGGATGAGAGAGAGGGCCTTCTCAGTTGTGGCCCCCTGAATCTGGAATTCCCTCCCCAGGAAGATCAGGCTAGCATCCTTCCTGTCCACTTTCTGCAAAGAGTTAAAGATGTGGATGTTCCGCTGTGCTTTTGAATAGACAATTCTGTAGATTAGCAGTCCTCAGACATTTTAAGCAGAGGGTCAGTTCACAGACGAGTGCCTGTGACAATTGGGGGACCAGACTATAGTTTGAAAAAAAAAATGAACAAATTCACATGCACACTGAACATATCTTATTTGTAGAACAAAAAACCATTAAAGAACAATACAATATTTAAAAGGAAGAACAATTTTAAGTAACATAAACGTACCACTATATTAACGGGAAGTGCAAGTCTGCTTTTGGCTGATGAGATAGTTAAGTTATTTTTGTGTGCCTTCAAATCATTTCAGACTTAGGGCAACCCTAAGTCTAATGTTTAGAGTGGTGGCCATGTAAATAACCTTGGACGGCCACATCTGGCCCACGGGCCTTAGTTTGAGGACCCCTGCCATAGATAGTCGCCCCCAGCTAGGACCCAAAATCGTGATCTTGCACTTTACTATAACTCTTATCTTTATTGCTGCCATATGACCTATGCACTTTACTGACTAGACTAGCCTTTAAATTATTGCTGCACCAGTCCACCAACCCGTGGCGATAAATTGAATTTTTTATTGGTTGTTGGTTGATGTCTGTTTTATATATTATTATAATGTTGTTTTATTTGTTTCTATACTGTTGTTTGCATTTTATAGTGCTATTTTTTAACTGTGTTGATTGGGCTTGGCCCCATGTAAGCTGCCCCAAGTCCCTTTGGAAAGATGGCGGTGGGGTACAAAAATAGAGTTATTATTAATTGCCTTCCATTACTCACAAAAATAGAGCCCCTGTGGTGCAATGATTAAATCCTTGTGCTGGAAGGACTGCTGACCGAAAGATCGGTGGTTCATATTTGGGGAGTAGGTCAGCTCCCATCTGTCAGCTCCAGCATCCCATATGGGGACATGAGAGAAGTTTTCCACAGGATGGTAAAACATCTGGCAAAGTCCTTGCAGGTGGCCAATTCTCTCACACCAGAAGTGACTTGTAGTTTTGCAAGTTGCTCCTGACACG